TAGATGTGCTTTACACAATTGATCTATGTAATGTGATGAATTGTATGAGCCCCAATAAAATGATAAAAAAAAAAAAAGGAAAGAAGGACCCAGAGGCATTGCTGCGTGCGAGGCCGATGCTGCATCAGCCGACACGACCCAAGTATTGACACACTTGACGCTTGCGTGAGAAGAAGCGTGAATACGTATGGAGTGCCTTCACCTCGATTTCCCTTCTTCAACCGTGAGGTTGAAGAATGCACGAGGGCAGCCAAGAAGTCAGGGCCGACTTATCCCTGGCCTATCATTTAAAGCCGAGTCTGTGAAGACACGGGGCTGTCCCACGCTTACTGACAACCCAGGCGGCAGGTTCAGGACGGCCGGCCGGACGGCTTCCTGATAGGAGGCAAAGAAAACGCACGCTGGACCATGTTCACATTCCCTCGCTTCTAAGGATCACACACTGCACCACAGGATGCTCATCCTTGTCCCCAAAGAAACTTCCAAAGCCCTGGCATGTAATGGTGATTCAAGAAAGACCTGACTCGTTCTCCTTCCGGTGTGCAGGGAGTTTGTTCCAGCAAAGAGCAGAAAGCACGGTTCACTCTCTGTTCTCTTCAGGAGAAAGTGCGTGTCCGGAGCTTGACAGACAGTCCTGCCTGGCTCCTGGTCAGCTGACCTCCTGCCCCTGCCCCAAGCGCCCCAGTTGCTCCTGCCCTCCCAGCATTCCAGCCACCTGTGCTGCTCTCCCTCTGCCAGGTACGCTCCCTCCCCTGCCCCCCTTCCACCTCCGTGCCTTCGACGGGAAAATGAGGGAGGACTGATCCAAGGGCTCAAGTGGAAAGCAAAGGTTTTGAGAATGAGGAGGGCAACAAATGTACAAATGTGCTTGACACACAATGGATATATGTATGGATTGTGATAGGAGTTGTACAAGCCCTCAATAAAATGATTTGAAAATAAAAATTAAAAAGTGAACGGGCGAAGTACACAGGCCACAGGGTGTTTGCCATTTCTACAGTCTTCACATGTGTAGCTCAGTGGCATCTAATACATCCATCGTGTTTTCTCAGATATATCACCATTTTCACTTTTTTCATCGCTCTTAATGGAAATTCATCGTCTCCTAAGGCCCTGGTAACCTCCGATGAACGTTGGTCTCTAGACACATATCTATTCTAGAGCACATACATGGGGTCGCAGAACATGTGTCCCTCTGTGACTGGCTCGCATCACTCACTCTGTGTCTTGGTCATCTAGTGCTGCCTTAAGTGCATGGTTTTAACAAACCGAAATTTATTCTCTCACAGGTTAGGGGGCTAGAAGTCTGAATTCAGGGTGCCAGCTCTCGGGGAGCTCTGCTGGCTCTGGGGAAAGGCCCTCGTCTCCTTTCAACGTCTGGGGGTCCGGCATCCCTTGGAGCTTTCCCTGTGTCTGGACATTGGTCTGCCCTGGGTCTAGGAGGTTCTCAGCTCAGCAACCCCGGGTCCAAAGGACACGCTCCACTCCCAGGTCTTCTTTCTTGGAAGTACTAAGTCCTCCTTTCTCTGCTGCTTCTGTCTCCTTCCATCTCTTATAAGAGAAAAGGTGATGTAAGCCTCACCCCAGGAAACTCTCCTTACATTGCACCAGAGCTGTGATCTGAATGAGGGTGTTCTATCCCTCATTAATCCCCTCACAGTTGTTTGATTGACTGATCACACCAGGGGCAATGATTACATCATTACATAACGGTCACATTACATCATTGCATAACTGCCATGCCTGAGAACCACGCCCAAGCCTAGTTGACGGGTTTTGGCGGGTGGGGGGCAGGCAGGGCAGGTGTCATAATTCAATTCATGGCAGTCACTCAGCACAGTGCCTTTAAGTTCTTCCGCACCGTGGCGCGTGCTGGGAGCCTCTCCGGGTCTTTGTCAGTCATATGCTCTGTCTGAAGCCCATGCCTTTTCCCTTTGTCCTCCCTATTTTCCAGGGTCCATTTGAATGGCACTTCCTCGCCTGGCAAGCCTTCCAGAGTCCCCTGGCTCCTCTGGGCCCCTTGTCTCTCGCAGCATCTACCACCCGGAATTGTAATGACTTATTTACACATGTCTTTCTGCCTCATGGCAGCCGAGGGCTGCCTTGTGTGGATTAGTTCGTATATGGGGTGTCTAGCACGCAGCAGATGCTCACTAAATATTTGTCATCGCAAATGTCTGTCTCTCCCCCATCTGGGTCAGAATATTCTGACTGACGCGCTTGCCTTGGGGAGCTGGCGTGGGCAGGAGACGGCTCTTCCTGGGGAGAAGAAGCGGCCCTTGAGCCACAAGCACAGACTCAGGCATTTGATCTGGGCCCCAGGCTGGGTTCTGCCGCAGCTGAGCCATGTGGCAAGTGACCAGCCACTTACCACACGGATTCCCACTTCGAACAGCCATAACCTACCACTTACCCCCCACCCCCACCGCCCCCCCCCAAGCTGCTGTGCGGGCTGGCAGAGAACGGAAGCAGGTGGGCTCTGGGCCCTGCTCACTAGCTTTGAACATAGATGCTGTCTCGTGCGGGTCAGGGCACCGGGGCTTCAGTTCCGGTCAGCCCCTGTCTCATTGTCTGACCCCATCAGTGGCCACCGAGTAGACACCCATTCGTGAGGACCCCCTGTGTGTCGGAGCAGAACAAGGCTCCACAGGGTTTTTGACGGTCGAGTTTTCAGAAGCAGGTTGCCAGGCCTCTCTGCGGAGGCACTTCTAGGTGGTACTCACACCACCAACCTTATTGTCGAGCGGCTGAGAGGTTGACCACCGTGAGGCGTTGACCAGGCAAGCTGATTGACCTCTGTGGCTTCAGGGCTTGGCGCTTGCGGCCTCTCGGAGCTGTGTCCTGGACAGTGAGATGAGTGAGGGCAGCAAAGAGTGCTCTGTGTCCAGCAGAGGGCCCTGCCCAGCCCGTGGCTAGCAGGGTGGGAGGGAGCGCTGAGTCCAGTGGAACAGGCAGGCAATGCAGACGCCGGACTGGAGGCGGACCAACAGGCCAGCTGCCGCTCTCGCTGCTGCCCAGCACTCGGCCCCTGCCCTCACCTGCTCTCGCTGGGGTGGCTGCCTCCTGCTCCAGCGGCCATGCGGTGGCTGTGGGCCTTGGCTGTCTCTCTCGCTGCAGCCTCCGCAATGGGGCTCCGAACTCACCAGGCCACAGGCCAGGAGCAGCAGGGCCGGTCTAAGAGAGGCACTGAGGAGGAGGAGGTCAGGGGGGTGCAGCAGTATATACCCGAGGAGTGGGCAGAGTACCCCCGGCCCATCCACCCTGTCGGCCTGCAGCCCACCAAGCTCCTGGTAGCCACCAGCCCCAACCCTGACAAGGATGGGGCCCCCCCGGGCATCGGGCAGGAGCCGAGGGCCAACCTGACAGGGACGCCGGGACGGAGGCTGCAGGTCCCCAACCCTCTGTACCCAGTGACAGAGAGCTCCTACACTGCCTATGCCACCATGCTCCTGGCCCTGGTGGTGTTTGCGGTGGGCATCGTGGGCAACCTGGCAGTCATGTGCATCGTGTGGCACAGCTACTACCTGAAGAGCGCGTGGAACTCCATCCTGGCCAGCCTGGCCCTCTGGGATTTCCTGGTCCTCTTCTTCTGCCTCCCCATCGTCATCTTCAATGAGATCACGAAGCAGAGGCTGCTGGGTGACGTTTCCTGCCGGGCCGTGCCCTTCATGGAGGTGAGTGGGTGTCCTGCTATCAGCGTCCACCGGGGAGCCTTGGGCTGGGGGATGTATCGGGGACCCGGGGCTTTGCACTTCCTGGGTTTTGTACCATTTCCTTCAACTTGGGGGAGGCTCCGGCGTGGACTAGGCAGGCCAGTGGAGGCAGAGCTCCGGGGCTGCAGTGCAGCTGGCTCCCCTGCTCCGGCAGCAGCCCCAGGTCCGGGCTCCCCTCTTTCGCCATTTGAGACAGCCACTAGGCAGGCCGTCTCCTGTGTCACTCCCGCAGCCCTAAACTGACCCTCTCCTGTCTCACTTCTCATCTGTCGTCCCCCCAAGGGACCGCCCTGCAGTTTGTTCCGACCCCTTTTCTTCCCGTGCCTGCCGCTCACCTTCTTTACCCACAGACCTGCCCCCTGAGCGGCGCTTGAGGGAGACCTCAGTTCTTCCATTCAGGAAACACTCTTCCTCCGCTTTATTGCCAGCTCCCCAAACCTCTCCCAAAGGGAAAACCTGGCTGGGCACTGGGGCTACTTGGGGTTGGGGGTATGACCCAGTCCCAGCTGTCACTGATGCCACCAAGTCGGTCACACTGTGACTCCAATTTCTTTACTTCCCAACGAGAGGGGTTGACCAGATGGCCCCTTCCAGCTCGGTCATTCTACGACTCTAATGTGGATAGCTGTTCCCAGGCCTCCTGGGAATGTGTGAAGACACTACTCCTTCCATGGCTGTACATGGGTGTACTGATGGCATAGAGGCAGCTTACCGAAGACACGGCCAAAACAGACATGTGTGTGCATGTGTAACGCTCAGCAAAGCCACGGCACCTCTATGAGAATGCATAATAAGAAGGCAAGTTTAACTATTCTTGCTTGCAGCGGGGACAGGGGTGAGCGCAGGCAGCTCCTGGTGAGGGGTTGAGATGTGTGATGTGGGTGACCTGCTGTGGGGAGCAGGAATCAGGACCTGGCACCTGGACACAGCTCTGACTCTCACTCCCAGCTCTGTCCCCGGCATACTGTCTCTTAACAGCAGTTTCAGATGTGAACCCTCCCTGAGGCTCAGAGCCCTCTCCTGTCCTTCCAGCCCAGACAGGCTGCCTCATAGCAGCCCAAAGCCACCGGACCCGAACGGTTGGGACTTCTCTATCGCCTGCTCTCGGTTCCGTGAGCTGCCAGGTCAGACAGTAGATGAAGGGGCTTCAGTAAATTCATGGGGAATTCTGTTATCTACTACAATTGTTTTTTAGTTTTTAGTTTAGTTTTGTTTTAATTCTTTTCTTGGGAGCTCTTCCAGGTAGCCTAATATTTCATAGTTCCAGAGTTCATTCCATAGTTCACCTCAAGCAGTACTGTACTCCGTTATCTTTTTAATTCCATTTTCCCCACAAACTTTTGGAAGCCCCATCATAATTTGTTACACACACACACACACACACACACACACACACACGCACGCACACGACTTTATTCCCACCACAGTGACCCTGTAAATCTTTGCGGGAGCAGATAGCATCCTCCCTCTTGCTGTTAGACACACGGACCTTGGACTTGGCCGTGGACAGACTGGGTTAGGCTTGGCCCCGCACTCGCTCAGTGACCCGGGCTGTGTACCCTGCCTCTGTCTCAGTGTTCTCATCTGTAAACTGGGAGGATAACAATGGCAACGATGATGATGACCTGAATGAATTCTTCAAAGTTGAAATGGGCAATGCCAATAAAGTGCGTAGACTTAAAAAATCCAATAAAGGGTACTTTATCTGGGAACGGTTGAGGGAAGGTCAGTGGGACGGGGCAAGGGGGTGTAGTGGGGGGAGGCAGACTTGTTTGCATGGAACTGGTGGTTCAATAAGGGGCCTTGATAGTGCAGCAGTTTATGTGTTGGGTTGTTGACCACAAAGTCAGTGGTTCAAACTCACCAATTACTCTGTGGGAGCAAGATGAGGTTTTCTGCTCCCATAAAGATTCACAGCCTCAGAAACCCCCAGGGGCAGTTCTACCCTGCCCTCTAAGGTCACGAGGGGTCAGAATCAACCTGATGGCAGAGAGGTTTTCAGGGATGCGTGACAGCGTGGTCCTGTCTGACTGTGGGTCTCAGTTCCCTGGATAGGTGAGTTATCTCCATCCCCTTAGGCCCCCTCTATACCTCTTGAGGACAGAGAGGATCCATAGGCTGAGAGAGAGTCCTGTGCTGAGTGAGGGCCCCAGAACCCTGTCCTTGAGGGGGGTGCTCTGGATGGACCCCAGAGTGGCCAGGAATAGAACTTGAGATGCTTTCTGAGGCAGAGGGATGTGTTTTGTCCCAGCCGAGGCTGCCCCGCCCCGGCTGCCCAGTGAGGGAGGGGGAGCACTGGCCAAGGGCAATGCAAGGCAGTGCTAACGGACCAGGGCTTGTGTCCGGGAGCGGGGCGAGGGCATGCTCAGGGATGAGGGCAGAGCTGAGCACAGCTGCTGAGTGGCCCGCGCAGGGCTGGATAGCCCTGGGGTTCTCCTCTTTGTTCACCTCTCTCCAATTTCCCTGCTGTTCTAGCTCCTCCCTCCACATCCCCAGGGCCATTTTCCTGTGTGGACAGCATGACGGGACAGTGGGCACAGGTGGGCTGGGAGCGGGGCTGCCTCCCCGCACGGCAAGGCTCTGGGCATCTCAGGGCAGGGCGAGGAGGCTGGATGTGTGTCTGTGAGGGGGCTTCTGCGCCTGCTTGCATGTGTGTGTGCCCGTGCATGGTGAATGTATGCGTGCAGTTGTGCGCATATGAAGTGTAGGAGAGATGGCGTAAACATGAGTGTGTGTGTGTGTGTGTGTGTTTGTGAGTGTCGAAAGTAAGCCGTGTTTCCCAAGATCTTTCCTCCTATGCCCACAATTGGTCAAGGGGAGAGAGTCTACATCTTTGCCCAGGCTGGTTCTTGAAGACAATTCTCTAACATGTTTCAGAGAGGGTCAGGGCCTGTGGCATGTAGACCCGCCACCCCTCAGCTGGGGGGGGGTGGGGAGTAGCAGCATGATGGGGAGATTCAGGCAGCCCTGTGCCTGCAGCTCCCCTCAGCCCTCCTCCAGCCCCGCTCACCGTGGTATGGCCAACAGCCGGCCTGTATTTCACTTTGGTCTTCTGGGACCGGGGTGCTGAGGGGCTGAGGAGAGAGCCAGTGGGATGTGCCCAGCACAGAGAGAGACAGGCTGGACCTGTGATTCTGACGTGTGGCAGGGCAGAACGGCTCTGTGGAGCTTCCGGGGGCTCTCACGTGGATGGAAGCTAACCACCAAGGGGCTGCCCCAGGGATTTGAGACAACAGCCTTGGGCTGAGTGACAAGACCAAAGACAAATACACAGGGCCAGCTAGTCGATTCCAGGTAGGGTTGCCTAGACTTCAGGTCTTGACAGGAGCAGATAGCCTCGTTGGTCTCTCCAGGGGCGGCTGGTGCATTTGAACCGCCAGCCTTTGGGTTAGCAGCGCAGCGCATTACCTGCAGCGCCACCAGGGCTCCTTTTCAGGTCAGTGCAAGTCGTGTGTGCTTCTCAGAGAGCTGGGGCACACAGCCAGTGCCTGCCAAACGGCAGCTGTGGTTAAAGATTATCTCTGCACTTCTGACTCCGTTCTTGGTCTGACTGAACTAGAAGCCAGGGCGTCTTCCCTCCTCCCTAGGGGTGTTGACTGATGCCTTCGTCCTCCCACCCTCCCCCACCCAGGTCTCCTCTCTGGGTGTCACGACGTTCAGCCTCTGTGCCCTGAGCATCGACCGCTTCCACGTGGCTACCAGCACCCTGCCCAAGGTGAGGCCCATTGAGCGGTGCCAGTCGATCCTGGCCAAGCTGGCTGTCATCTGGGTGGGCTCCATGATGCTGGCTGTCCCCGAGCTCCTGCTGTGGCAGTTGGCACAGGAGCCCAGCCCCGCCTCGGGCACCGTGGACTCCTGCATTATGAAGCCCTCGGCCAGCCTGCCCGAGTCCCTGTACTCGCTGGTCATGACCTACCAGAACGCCCGCATGTGGTGGTACTTTGGCTGCTACTTCTGCCTGCCCATCCTCTTCACCGTCACCTGCCAGCTGGTGACGTGGCGGGTACGGGGCCCCCCAGGGAGAACGCCGGAGTGCCGGGGGGCGGGCCAGCACGAGCATGTTGAAAGCCGGCTCAACAGCACGGTGGTGGGCCTGACGGTGCTCTATGCCCTCTGCGCCCTCCCCGAGAATGTCTGCAACCTCGTGGTGGCCTACCTTTCCACCGAGCTGACCCGCCAGACCCTGGACCTGCTGGGCCTCATCAACCAGTTCTCCACCTTCTTCAAGGGGGCCGCGACCCCCGTGCTCCTGCTGTGTGTCTGCAGGCCTCTGGGCCAGGCCTTCCTGGACTGCTGCTGCTGCTGCTGCTGCTGCGAGGAGTGCGGGCCGGCCCCGGCCCCGGCCGCCAGCAGCGCTGACCACAAGCTCAAGACTGAGCTGTCCCCCATCTACTTCCACAAGCCCAGGGAGTCTCCCCCACTCCTGCCCCTGAGCACACCGTGCTGAGGCCGGGCCTGAGCTGGGGAAGGTACAGAGGAGGGGTCTGAGGAGGGCTGCCCCCAGCTCAGGCCCACTGCTCCTTTCCGCGTAGGTCCTGCTTTTATGCTTGTCTTGCTGTAGAGATGAACTTGGTCCCTCTTGCCTGGGGTATGGCGAGTCAAAGCCCCCTCCACAAGGGGGGCTTCCCTGTCACTCTGCGGGGCCGCCTAGACCTGCCCCTTCTCCTGGTGGACAGTGAGGCTTCTAGTCCATAGAGCGTACTAGTGACTCTTCTTCCCTCCTGCCCGGAGTCAGCACTTGACCGTCACCTCCCCACCTCGGTTCCAACTCCACCTCTCTCTCTCTCTCTCTGCCTCTGACCCTGACGCTCCATTTTTAGTTGTGCCCTTACCAATACCCTCTCTGTACCTCCCACCCGGGGCCCCATCCTGCAACAGGGGCTCCTTAAGGGCCAGATCCACTTGGCTTGGCCCCCTCTTCTCTGTACGAGAGCTGTCAGTCCTAGCTCTGGACACCTCCCCCTCCAGATGCCTCTCTCCCTCTCCTTCCTTCTCCTGTCCCGAGGTCCCCTGGGCTGCCCCGTCCTGGGCTGCCCCGTGGAAAGCTCTTCTTGAAAAGCAATAAACTAGGTAGCAATAAACCTGTGTGCACCCTAGATGTTCCTGTGCCAGGTGCTGGCTGGGCCCAGATGCTCCAGGGCCCCCAGGCCCTCCCCCAGGTCTGGCAGTGGCCTGAGCCAACCTCACCCATCCACCTTTTGTCCTTCCTAGCCTGGAGCTGATGTCCAGCACAGCCCAGGGGCACTAGGGACAGAGGCTGGAAGGCTTGGGATGCCTGCAGGACTGAGTCTGCCTCCTGGCCCAAGCCCAGCGGGCCCTCCGGGAGATGAAACACTGCAACTGTGTCCCCCTCTGAAGCCTCCCCCCACAAGGCACTCACTGGACAAGAGCCAGTGGCCTGCCCCCCTCAGCCTGGGGCTTCCCAAGCTCTCTCTGAGTACGCTCTTGTTCTGAGTCTTAGAATGGACTGTTTTGCCTGTCGACAGCCCAGCTGCCTGTCCCCTGCCTGCCCTCACCCCACCTCTGCCACAGCACCCTTCCCCGCCTACCCCCAACATGCCCTCAGCTCCTCTGCTGGGAGGGTCTCCCACCCTGGGAGGCCCACCTCCCCTGAGTCCGCCTCTCAGGGCCTCCCAAAGGGCACCCTTTGCCTCGTTTGGCCTCTGAGAAGCGGACAAAGTTGACCAGAAGTGACCACATGGCCAGTGTGCCAGTCCCTCCCTGCCATTGAGGAGGCCAGCCTTCCCTGCTTGAAGCTTGCCTCTGGGGCCACCCTGGGACCCTCGGCCCACGAGATGCATGTCAGACATCCATCTGCACGGGGTCTCTCTCAGGGAAGGCGGGGAGAGGTGGGGGGGTGGTGAGGGGACAAGGGTTCCCCTGTGCCCTGGGCTCATGCTCCTCTCTCCACCCACCCACACCCCTTGGCCTCAGTCTGCCCCGTGCCGGACCCCCCCCTTCCCCATCCTCTTTCTCCTGGGGATCTTAATGGCCTTGTTCTCTCTCTCTGGCATCCACCCCCGGCCGGCCCGGGGACTCCGCCAAGAGGCAGGCGTTGCTAGGTGACGGCGCTGCCATGCGCACTCCCTTTGTGTGGAAGGACACCCACCCATCGCAGACCTGTTGCCACGGTGACTGAAGACCCCCCCAGCATTGTCTGCAGACATTTAAGAAGGGTGTGTGTGTGTGGGGGGGGTGCAGGTTGGAGCTTGAGGAGGGGGCTCAAAGGCAGACTTGCCAGGGAAGCACCGGGGCTGTTGCCTCTTCGTTTTCCAGCAACCCCTTCTCCACCCGATGGCCCGCCCGACAGATGCTGAGGGATGTCGGAAGTGAGGCCGGGTGAACGCAGGGGAAGCGGGGACAGAGAGGGCCTGGGGCGGAAGGCGCGTGGGGGGGGGGCAGGGAGGGGCCACCTCAGCATCCGATCTGGGGGACCTCTTCCACAAAGGACACCCCTTGCCATGCTTGTTGGCCAGTGCGGAGCTGGCCGGGAGAAGCGGTAGCCCCAATGCTGGGCCACTGCTGCTGCCTCCGGAGACTGTCAACGTGAAGGGCTTGCAGGAGTAGCCAGCTGGCCAGCCAAGCTTGGGAAAGAGCCACTGTCCCGCCAGCCTGGGCTGGCCAGGGAACAATGTGGAGCTTGTTTTGGGGGGTCTGATGGCTGTTGGGCCAAGGCTGGGGGAGTGAGGGTTGGCGCAATGGTGGCCAGTGGGCTTGAGCCACGGCACTCAGAGGCCACAGGCCACCCCACCCCCCATCCTCAGCAGGCAGACTGTAGACCAGGGCAGGGGTAGGATGGGGTGAGAGGTGGGGTGGGGCGAGTCTCCCTCAGCTTGGAGATCACCCACCCTCTGGGGAATCACCTCATGAGCCCCCAGCTCCCATCACTTAGACAGGCCTTGGACCCAGTTCCGGAGTCCGGTCTCCCCCTCCTCCACAGATCACTGCAAGCACTGAGACAAGATCTATGAAGCCGCTGGCAAGACGCCTGACACCTTCCTTCCATTAATCCCTTCTTAGGACTCAGCAGGCCTGCCAGAGGATTTTTAAGCTCATCAAGGGCTTGGTGGAACCAACCCCCAAACTCCCTGCCATCGAGTCTATGCTGACCCATGGTGACCCTATAGGACAGGGTAGAACTGCTCCTGTGGGTTTCTCAGACTGTGACTCTCTACAGGGAGTAGAAAAGCACCGAGGAGGTGGTTTTGAACTCACAACCTTGTGGCTTGCAGCCCAATGCATAACCACTGGGACACCAGGGCTCCTCTTCGCACTACACAATTTACATGCGCTCCTGGTATTCAGCCTTAACATCCACCTGAAGTCACATTAGGTACCTAATCACACAGCTCTGCTGGGCTGCTAACTGCAAGGTCAGTGGTTCAAACCTACCAGCTGCCCCAAGGGGAAAGATGAGGCTGAGGCCGTTTGCTCCCGAAAAGATTCACAGACTTGGAAACCCTCTCTAGGGTTGCTGTAGGAATTGACCTGACAGCAGGCGGTTTGGGTTTTTGATGGGAAAAGCGTGCGTGCGGGCAGCGTGGTACAGTGGTAGAACTCTTGCTCGCTAGGCGGAAGATCTGGGTTTGGCTCCCGACCCATGTCCCTCGCAGGCAGCCTGCTGCTGGCAAGCTTGGGCAGGTTGCAGGGGAGCTTCTAGACGAGGTGGGCTCGGGAGAAAGGCCCTGCCAACTGCTTCTGAAAACCAGCAGTGAACATCCTATGTATAGGCCATCACAGACTGGGCTGCGGCTGACCTCGAG